GGGGGGGGGGGGGGGGGGGGGGGGGGGGGGGGGGGGGGGGGGGGGGGGGGGGGGGGGGGGGGGGGGGGGGGGGGCGAAGTGAGGGTGGGAATCAGATAGGGGTCTCCCACATACTGGCTACGGTGGGCCTGGTTAGCCCTCCGAAGGGTCGCTGGAATTCAGTACGAAATTTGTTGGTCAGAATTCAATGATGAAGTGGTCCATGGGGAGGAATTCCCACTGCCTCTCCGTAGAGAGCCATGGTTGCCACTGCAAGTTGTGTTGGCCGTCCAACGTACACAGTCTCTGCCCCTGGTCCACCCATGTGGTGGGGAAGTTTTGTTGCAGTTGTGCCTGTTTCGTTTCTTCCATTTCTTGTTTGAGTCTGGTTCCGAGATATTTCCAGGCATCTTGGGCCTGAGTTGTAATGGTGTCGGCAATAGTGGATCTTCCCTGTATGAATCCAAATGTTTGTTGGTTTCTTTCATAGGCGCATCTCATACGCCATGCAGCCATGAGGATAGCCAGCCTGGTGTATTGGAACAGGTTAAACATAAATTGCGTCTAGTTCGCTCCCTGAGGTGGCAGCTCTCCAAACAGGAGTGCCTTTATGGTCCATGGTAGGTGTTGACCCGTGATGTAGTGCCAAGCTGTGTTGTGACGTCCAACCTCATGCCCAGCGTGACTTCCTGATTGGAGTGGGATGGGGGCCCGGAAGTGTGAAAAGGGGGGGTGCCAAGGATTTTAGGAAATTGTAGTGGAGTCCCAGGTCAGAACTGAGATCTCCGGTGGCAAGCTTAGGGGTAGCGGTGCAAGAAGGTGACCGCAGATCACGTCTGACGTTTCTTGGTCCTCGTCGAGCGAGGCTACCATCTCTGCAGTTTCGTCGTCGTGGCCAGTCCCGGATTTGAGGCACAGGCGGGACGTTGTCGCGTCGTTGGACCCGCTTGTGGCGAGCTTCGGAATCCGACGAGGCGGGTCTTACGTGGACGCTGTGTAAGCGCCGATCGGAAGGGTTTGTGTGAGTTGGTTGGATAAACCCCGAAGTTCGATACGCCGGGTGGTGCGAGCGCTCGTCACGCGAAGCGCGGGGCCAATAGTGAGCTATGGAATTGCACGGTACCACTTTAAGCTGATCATATGGGAGGAGGAGATGGAAGGGAGGAAAAGTGGTAGTGATAACGACGAAGCCCGGGGATATGTAGTATTGGGTGTTGTCCGTATTCGGATAGTCAGGGCCCCTAGTATCGCTAGTTATGGCCCGGTGAAAGTCCCTCGCGCACAGTCGAGCGTTCCTCGTTAGACAGGGGAATTCCGGGTTTCTCAGGTTTTCGTGGTCAGTGGTCCAAAAGGGAGTTCTTACAGCCATATCCGGTCAGTGAACTCAGCCTCCCACATCCTATGTAATGAGCCAAGATTGAGGTCGACTTATGCAGGCGCACTCGTACGCTGCGACTTGGTTTTCCCGGGGTCGCGACCGTACGTGCGCGTGCGCATAAGCGAAAGGGGAATCGAACCTGTGTTTCTCGTGTCGGTGCATCGGTGGTGTCCTTCCAGTATGCAACTATCCTACCCATGGTATCTCGGGTGAGCTTCAATCATTACACTCCCATCCATGCCATTCATGCGACAAAGGGAGAAAAAAAGGGCCACACACCACAACAATCTCG